TTTTTTATTCCATCCTTCATTTAAGACCTTTTCTCTATACTCGCTATGTCTCTCGCTAAGAAGTAAATTTTTATCCTTTTTCTCAGTCAATGTCTCAAAAAATCTCTGAAAATGTTTATCTATAAATTTAGGTGGGTATTTATTCAAAAGTAGGGTTATTCTAACTTTCTCAATTTCTTCTTCCAAATCTTCTCTATGGGAACATATTCTTACTGCTCGTAAAAGTGCTAAGAAGGGAATATTCTTCATTACATGAGGAGGGTGTGCTGAGTTGAAGGGTAAAATATAGGGCTGGGCTGCTAACTTTCTATAGACTTTGGTCCTAAAATTGGGGACTTCTACTTCTACTCTTACGTCTAAATAATCTACATGTGGGCCTGTCTCAAAAGTTAATCCTATATTTTTATCCTTCTTACCTAACTCAGTTAATATCCTATCCATCTCATCCTTACTCTTCTTAGTGGTAATAAAAATATCATCCCTAAATCTAAAATATAACTCCTCCTCACTATTCTGTTGTTCCTTAAACTGTTCTTCCCACTTTCTCATATAAACATCTGCTAAGACTTGGGTGCATTCTGAGCCCATGGGACCGCCTCTAATCTGCTTATAATACTTAACTTTCTGACCGGGTAACTGGAGGGCAAAATATGCATTTTCTAAGACATGTCTAAAAAGGGTCCTTACTGTATTGATGGGTATCTCTCCGTTAACCTTATTTATCCTATTCTCACCTAACATCTCACAGACGGCTAAGATCGATTCTTGCTGGGGTATCATTGTATATAAATCCGTTATATCGAATGTATATACAAGAGTCTGGTCTGTAGTCCTATGTTTTTTTAATTCCTTTAAAAATTCTATACTATTTCTCAAACTATATGGGGTTAACTTATCAAAAATGGGTCGAATAATTTGATCTAGAAAAGCCGAGATTTTTTGTGTTGGTGATTTCATACCCGAAATAATTGGTCTAAGTGGCTCGCCTACCTTATGATCTTTTGGGTTATAATAAAGATGGGGCAACTCGGCATCTTTTGGATCTGGTTTAAGTTTCTCAAAGTATTTCCCGGATAATAATTTTCTATTTACTAAACTTCTTAATAACTCTTCTGTCTTTTCTATCATACTATCTAAGGGGGATTGTTCTATTTCTTCATAGGAGTCATTGCACGAGAACCACGACCGATTCTAATATATGTTGCTCAACGATTTTCTTCGATTTTGATTTTGATTGCAGCAATAGATAGTACTACTAAAGTTAGGTATATGTTAAAATTTTCAACGTTCAATACCTTTCCATTGTTGAGAAATAAGAACTTCATTTCTACCACCCAACGATAGGAACCACTGTACACGATATTTTTCTAAATTATAATTTAGAAAAATATCGTGTACAGTGGTTCCTATCGTTGGGTGGTAGAAATGAAGTTCTTATTTCTCAACAATGGAAAGGTATTGAACGTTGAAAATTTTAACATATACCTAACTTTAGTAGTACTATCTATTGCTGCAATCAAAATCAAAATCGAAGAAAATCGTTGAGCAACATATATTAGAATCGGTCGTGGTTCTCGTGCAATGACTCCTATGGATAAAGGTCGCGTGCGAAATGAATATTTTTGACAAAAATTCTTTTCATATCTTTGATTCGCTTTGGAATGTTAAAATGATGCGGAAATTCTGAGTAAACAGCATGTGACAAATGAATAT